GCGTTTACCGTGTCTGAATAAACGGCATTGCAAAAATTCTCTATTAACAATTTATAATTGCATTTTTCTCGAAGTAACAGCGTTATCTATCGGCATATATTAGATTAACAAATTCTTATCAGATTATGTAATGAAGATTGAGATTGAAGATAGAAAGAGTGAAATTTGACTAATGAAAACAATAGGAGCTAAAATTTCTTTGTCCTCATTGGTCAAATTTCAATCTTCAATCTTCAATGAATAGTCTGATTCTGGTCTTATAATATTTAATAATATTATGTGTATACCTATACCAGGTATTAATTTTGATAGAAGTCAGATATCCTAATCTGCAAGATTATATCGAGCAATCAAAAGTCTTAGTTTGGCATTCAATTGCAATAATCAGTTTTTTGCTTTCATCGATATCTAATATGATATAATCAACTACGAACAACAAGCTTATTATAAAAAAAGTGCATGCATAATAACCGCGGATAGCGATTTTCTTGGCAATATATTATAATTGTTAATCTTTGAGAAAAATTAACATCTCACTTATATAATATTAATCTGAACAGAAATTTTGCTCAGTCTCTGATAGGGATTCACTTGTAAGCATGCCCGTACGCCAGGGGCTCATCAGGTAGCTGTAGTTAGGTCTTGGCCGTAAATGTAAGGTAGAAAATTAAAGCCTGATTATGTTTTTCTTATCAGGACCTAACGATTGCTCTTTATTGCGCTTAAAAATATAATATAATGTAAAAAAAAAAATTAATAAAAACCGCTACTAAGATGATCCACGAACGCTGAGTATTCATGAATGTATAGCTGTGACATATCTGGTCAATATAGTCCTGTTAGACTTATTTGTGCAATTTAACTGAACAGTCAGTCAGTTATTATTTACTATCTAATATTACTAATTTTTCTTGATATACAAAAGTAAAGTTAATCAGATAATTATTCCATTTAATAATCTCAGTTCGAATAATCATAATTATATTTAGTAAATGCGTTTTTGTACGTTTTTCAATGAATCTGGCAGAAAAAAACGTTGCTCTACCCTGAGAAGAGAGATATTAAACTTAAATTAAAGTTAATGACTTTATAGGTTAAGAAATATGCCATGTGTGTAAGGCGTACTCAACCGCTTCCCGACTAGATCCAAGCAGGAAATTCCCGAAAACTATAGAATGTCCTATCACTTCTTGGTCGTAGCCTGACTATGCTCGTACAAATTTCTGCTCGGGATCAATATAATTGATACAGTTCTTCTCTAAAAGAATTCTAAAATTCTTAATGTGATCTTGTGAGCAAATCTCTTTTTCCTCTTAAGATTTTTAGATAAATGGTGTTTTTACAGCTCTGTGAAAGATTATTATCAGAATTCGAAACGATTCCACTGAAAAACGTTTTTGAAGTTTTCGCGGATATTTTTTTTAAAGATATCGAAAGGTTATCGCTGCGTTTTTATTCATTCATTGCTAATGCCAACGTTTCGTCAACTTGTTATTTACTTTGTTATTCACTTCATCAGGGCGAGGGGTATACTGATACTGGAAGTAAAAATATTACTAGTGTAACGAAAATATGAAGCAGTTACTGTATCTTGTATTACGTATTTTTTATGTAGTTATCAGGACTTTTTTCAAAACAAGTCAGGAATATTAGTAACAGAATTGGAGATTATGCGTCAAAACTTTTCAAATTACGAAAGCAAGATGGTATTTTTAGCACAAGTTAATTAGTATTATCACCGTCACTTAAAGCAACGCTACTGTTCAGAATTCTAATTGCACTCGCCTTACAATCATGCGATCTATAAGATAAGGAGCGATGTTTGCGTCGCGTCGTGTTTATGCATAAGCGATCGTCCGTCGCAAGGCGACGTGGTACACGAAGTGAGCCACATATAAATTTTGTTGCCAAGCGAGGATTTCCAAAATAAGAGAGATTTTACTTTGCCGTGACAAATTGCTTAAACAAGTTTGAGTTTGGTGCAATGAGACACTTGATTCCCCTTGAAGTAGCTCATAACTTGAACTTAATCTTGCTTGACATTTTGTCGATTCCATGGATTAAATTTCTCACGAGATGATAGGAAGGAAGAAAAATAATAGAAAGATATAGTATGAAAGTATCTTACTAGAGTAGAAATCGGGCCAAGCGACCGACATGCAATCAGTGAAACATCATTCGTGCGAAATCGCATCCCCGAGGGTTAAAGTGACGGAAATCGGCCGTTACAATTGGTAACCTGGTATCTTGGATCCTACTGCCTAGATGCGCGCTAGAAGAAGAAGCGGAAGACGCGGGAGAGTCATAGGCGCAGCGCGTGTTGCGGCAGCGTGTTTGGCGTGAAGGAGTGGGGGGAGAGCAAGCGAGCGAGCGAGCCGCGAGAGAAGAGGGGGCAGGAGAGAGCCGGCGTGCAAGAGAGAGGGAAAGAGAGGGACCATGTCCTACCCCAACGACCACGTGGTGCCGAAGACATTTTCATCATGCAGTGTGCTTCGGTACCCACGTGGATACATCGTTCGACGCTCCCGAGGAACTGGTCCGCGGTGCGCGTGCGTCGCTTCGCGACCACGCCGTGCTGTTCGCATTGTTGCATCAAGGTCGAGCAAAGTCGCGCGATTACAACCTCGTGGTACCGATTTAATATTGCGCCTACTCGGTAAATCAACTTCAAGCAGGAAAGGACGCGCTGTCCTCCAGCGCGTGCATCTTCTTCTTGTGCACACATCGCGCGAAATCTGTTATTTTCACAAAAATTAATGTTCTATTCTTTAACCGTACCCTCTTGATTCTAATGAATTATCTAATATACGACCTGAAGAAGATACTTTAACATGTAAAGAAACATCGTATAACCATATCGTCCTGATAAAAAGTTTTTTATACATAATTATTGGAAATAATTAATCTAATTTTGTTGTTAAAATACTATATATTAATTAGCGTCACTTTCTAATGGTACTATTTCATTTGCGTGTTTTTGTCGTATAATACAATAAATATGTACAGAACAGAATGGTCCTTGGATCTCTCTATTCTGTAGCTGATCAATGGCTTGAAAAATTTGTCATACGACAAAAACACATACAAATGAATGAAAATAATACTCTAAAATGAGGAAAAAACCAAATCTTTTAGTGGCATAGTAGGTATACTCCGAATCTTTAGAATTTCCAGGAGACTCCAATTGCAGGATGCTTTCTTGTAAAACTCCTGGACGTTTTCTTCTTACGACTAGCGCGTCCGTCTCGTGACGAGACCGTATGTACTTACCTCTTAGCATATCCTTTTTTTTCAAGAGGCTATATATCCAGGTTATTATAGAAAAATTTATTCTTCATTATATTTCGTGCATCTATTTTTTCATAAATAAATGTGCTTCATTAAAAATTTTTTGTTTAGAGAAAATGTTACGGGGAATTATCAGTAAAACATTGTATTTTCGGAGTAAACTGTTGCAAGTACGTTGAATACGAATGATGTCTTTGACTGTAAGGTTGTTTATTTGACTTTTTAAATTAATATAATCATATAATGTACGCTATGTCTTTGTCTGCAAAAATTTTATCTCAATGATTTTGTAGAAATAAGTTTAATATCTCATCAATGCTACGTTATTGACATTTTGCATCCGCGTTCTTAAAATACTCGTCGCGCGGGTCGCGTGTCCTGTCTCTCGTCAACTATTATTACTCGGTTATCGAGCAACGCGCTCGACCGGACGTTTGCGGTCGTCCACGGTGCGGCGCCACGTTTCCGATTCATCGACAAGGGTCGCCGTCGCGGCGATGGCGACGACGCGGACGACGACCAGAATAAAGCGAAGACACGGGCGCCGATCCAGGGAGCACTGACCTAGTATGCTTGGTCGTCGCTGAATTTACGAATCACGACTCCCGCGCCACCTCCAACCCCTTTCCTTCTCTTCCTCCTCCTCTTGTGTCGTCGCTGTTACAGCTTAGAGCGCACTTTGAGAGCGCAGGACTGCCGCCGATGATTCTACATCGCATGACCACGTGTCGTGTCTGTAGAATCACGTGCCAAGTCCGTGCGCGCGAACGTTGCTTCCGGAATCTTGTATATTGCCGAGACGGACAAACTTAGGTGTTTATTTGTACCAATATCGGCGTAATTTACTTTTATTTTTTTCAAGTTCTATGAATTAGAAAAAATAAAGAGTAAATTAAATCGAGATTAAAATTAATCTGCATTCTCACAGAAATGGATTTTCGTTTTTTCTTCCGTTAACATTTATAAAACGTTCGACGTACTTTATACCATTTTGTTATAAATATGCATCATTTTGTTACATTGATTCTTTGTATATTTTCTTTTATGTCATACATGTAATTCCTGTCATACATAATTTTTTGTTTAATTTCTTTCGAATAGTGAATGATAATCTTGTACCAGATTTATTTCTAAAAAATTACTTATCAATTAATCGCTCATGACCGTTTATTAGGTACACTCTTTATCATATGTATTCAGAATAAATGAGATCATTATGGATCCATGCCACTAATTAAGAGTGAAGACATCTTGACGTACTTATATATTTATGCTAAATATATGGGGTCAATAAGAGGGAGCTCAACCTTGCATCTGTCAAGGTCATGACTCTGACTGTCAAGGTTATGATTCTGATATATATACATATATATATTGACTTGCCGACATAGACTGTCTGTTAATTATTTATAAAATTTCCAATTTTTTTCTGAAATATTGCTGTAAATAGAGATCATTGAGGAACAAGATCATCAACTATAACCTTGAGATGATAAAAGTAAACGTTGATCTTCTTAAATTATTCGTAATTGTAAGTGCCTTAAAATAATGGACGAGGTGTCGAAGTAATACAAATAACGTACGCGAGTTTTGTATATGTTATTTATAAACAGTTTTATATAAACGCAATTCATTTTACAAATTTTAGAACGATGTGTAAATATTCCATATCCATAAATAATCTTTACACATGTTTTTTTTATTAATTACAGGTTAATACTAGAAATGAATGGGCATCATTGTGTGAACAGTTTCACCTGCCCGGCGGTTGCATCAATAGCGGAGTCGGCCTTAAACAAATTTATCTTCGGTAAGTTTTTTCTTGTAAATCTGATATGACAAAATTTAATAAATATACTCTCTTAGTAAGAAGCTCTGGAGCTGACACCAAAATCTGTTACACAGTTACTGACATTGACGTCTGTGAGATCCATAATGTACCTAATTTGACACTAATTAATTTTAAAGAATTAAAACGATTTGTATAAAAGAGAACATATACTAAATTTATTTTAATAATAATAATAAATTTGCAAATAAAATATATAATTGAGAGATCGAATAAACCCACGTCAATGTTTAGAAGAGCATCTTCTCTGAAATTTTTTCTCTCACTGAGTTTATTCATTTATTTGTTGGTGCATGCACCTTGCGAGATTTCCTTAAAAGATGCGGTCCAATTGAATTTCGATCGTCACAAAGGACCACCTTTACCGTTACCGACGGCGATCTAATGAACGCGGCATGGAGTGTCACCGTCCCGCTTGCTACAATGTTCCATTGCGTCTGACAGTCCGCGAGCGTCTGCAAGAGGCAGGGAGTAGCAGCATTTTGCCGTACGGCCAACATCGCGCGTATCGGCATTGGTCCCTACGCCCCACCACCATTTTCCGTATCGCGTACTACGTACGTTCGTTCATTCATGCCTCGGCCTCGCTGACGAGAGCCACCACGTGGTTCCTGAGTCTCGTTTTCCTCTCTCTCCCGCCCTTGCCATCCTCTCCCCCCCTCTTTCTCTCCTCGCGCGTGCTCCCGTTCTCTCTTCCTCGAGAGAGGCGAGCCCTGCAATCTTGTTAGCGGCACGCGTTAACTGACAAGCGCGGACCCGCCACCGAGTCGCCGGCTCCTTACTGGCATGCTATTTGTGCTCAATTTTTCGTACCCAACTTGCAAATGGGACGCGGAGGTTTTCGCTTTTATGCACGTGGATTGCGGTTCGTACACTCCTAATCGGTACAGTTTCATCGATTTAACCCTTTCGCTTCTATCGGCCGCTACTATACTAAGCTGTCTTCCACAGAGATCTATCTCTATAATTTGTATACAGACCTCTACAATAACTATAGAGGTTAGTGTGTATGAAAAGTCACTGTAGTGCACAGCCGATATAAATAAAATATAATGTGGAAAACATAAAGGCATAAGGAAAAGGCACCACACGTAAATCACAAACAGGATGGTTAGATTTGAAAAGTAACAGTCTTTTTTCCGCGATCAAAGAATACAAATATACGTGTTGTCAAGTTTAATGCTCGGTACGCACTCTCTTTGTCGAAACATCTAGGCCCTATTCGCGGGGCCTCGTTCTTATTGGGCGGTGTGATCACGTGATTTCGTCACGTCACACAGTCCTCGCTTTTGTTCCTATGTTTACGGAAATTCGACTACAATAATAATTGTCATATATTTTTAATAAAATATCAAACATTCAAGTATAAGCAGCATAATTACATCGAATAGTTGTATCGAAGTAATGTAAATTGTGATGAAATTTAATTATTGTTGTGAGCGATCCTTTGTTTCGACATATCTTCTTTGTATTGTGTAAAAGATTTCAAATCTATAAATCTGATGTGATTCGTAAAACAAGTACAAAAAAGGCATTTAAATTTGTATTAGCTGAAGATGACTCCAAAGAAAGTAGAAACGTTCTAAATTTTGTTATTTTAATGGAATAAAGGAGTAATTTGAATAAATTTACTTCTTATTACTGTGTGTACTAACAACAACGCTGCACTTTCATTCGCCCTTAATTACTGGATTTCATGATAAGTAAAGACTATGTTGTAAGTACAGTCTTATGCTCATTTCCAACACCAACGTAAATTAACCTCAATCTCAGTTTAACTTCCTTTTCATCTTTTTCTAGTTTTAAAAACTAGGGAAAGATGAAGAGTAAATTGAGAACCGAGATTAAAGTTAATCTACATTGGTGGAAATGGGTATTAAAAAGTCATAAATTAATTAAAGAACTGTTTTAGCGTTTTAAAGGGGGTTTCTATACCTTGACCGAAAAATACATCATTTTTAATAATTTTTTACACAAAAACTATTCAACAAATTATAAAATTTTACACAAAAACGGAAAAAAAAAATTCCAATTAATTTAAAAATGATGGCTTTACAACAAATAAAGGTACGATTTTTTTTAATAAGAAATGAACCTCTTTTTAAACCAAATGAGACAATACCATAGCGGTCTAAGCTGGATCACGGGTGCTTCTAAATAATTATGTGTGTATTTTACATACTACGAATGTAATTCTTCGATTGCACGCCGAAATTTTTTCAGACTTGAAACACGCAACACTAATAAACTACCGCAGTAATATCACGAATTAAATTGACTAACAATTTAACAATTATTATTGATGCTGTTTACACATCTTATATCGATCTTACTAATGTTGAATAAGTTATTAAAAACTGTAAATAATTAATTTTTCACAAAAATAATACCTCGGCTGGGAGTCGAACCCAGATCTCTGGCAATCCGTACGAGTCCTCAGCCTTTAGACTACCGAGGCTTGAATCTTTTTTGTTTATTAAAACTATTGAAGATTTTGTTTTCTCTGTAGTTTATTTGGTGAAAAGTACTTTTTTACGTATGCCTGTACCTAAAATTAAAAACCGATAGCTTTATTAGTTTTCGAGATGGAAGTTCTGTCATTTCGTAAAATAATTCCGGCTATTCTTTCTTTTCTTTTCCTTTTTTTTTTTTGTTGAGAAAAATGGTTTTAAAGTTTTAATTTATAGATAACCGAACATATCAAATAGGAATTTTTATACTCACTAATTAGTTATTCCAAGCATAAAGTAAGCTCTCTTCTTTTTTAAAAAAACTCATTTTAGATTGCTCTTCTGTTTTTGTGAACCATTTTTGCCTTCTTGAAAGATTCTGAATGACGTCGGTTAGCTTATCGTATTCACTAACGCATTGTCTCTGTTGTCAGCCATCATTTTAGCCTAACAATGAAAGCGAATTTTAATTCTCATAATCTCCATTATTGTTAAGAAAGGAATGTAGCCTTCTTTGAAGAGATAAGTAGCTATAGAAGCTGCAATTTCGATATTATCCATACTTCTCGCTTTTATATTGTACATAGTAAAAGTTGGAGATGCACCGGATCGTAAAATTACCGGATACCGGATATTGGATGTCCGAAAAGAATGTGATGCCGGATATTCGATCAGGCCGGTAGGACAATTATTTGGCGAGATATCGAATATTTTACCGGATATCCGGTACAAATTCCTCAAAATTGTAAAAAAAAGTAAGGAAAAATAGCGGTAATATTTTTTTATCTTCCCAACGGGAAAAGAAAAAGAAAAAAAGATGAATTGTACAAGAAATTCAGATGAAAGGAATAAAAATGCTGCAGCAATGATGCAAACTTGCGATATAAAATTTTAGTCGGATATATTACCGGGTATTAATATTTGGCTATCCGTTCGGTTAGTAAAAAAACTGAATATAGAATACTTTTTGGATATCCGGTGCATCCTTAGTAAAAACAGTTGAAAATATTTGCATCCAGGTTAATATAAGAACGTACTGGCAATCAGACTAAATATGCTTCTAACCATGCATTCCATCACTTATCTATTCTCTTTTGTTTATTCTACATCTCATAATCAGTCATACGTGACGCCGCGGCGCGGGGCCGTGTGTGATCCAATTTCTATTTGTGCGCCCTACTCTTGAAATGCTCTACAGATTTCATTTGCGAATTCCAGCTTAAAATTTTACGAATGTGTGTATTCTTAATACTTAAAATTTTCAGAAAATGTTATTAACAAAAATCAGTTTTTTTTTTTTATTTAATAAGAAAATCTTAAGACGTTATTTAAGATGGTTTTATAATAAGAATAGACTATAAGAGAATATAAGATACATATATCAGTTTTAAAATAAACAGTGACAATGGATAAAATGGTATAAAGTTTTAAATATTTAAAACTTTTAATGATATGTACAAGAATTTAAATAAATTTCTTATTTATAAAAATCTAATAATAAATTTATTTAGAATATCATACATATCATTAATAGCTTAATATTTGAAATACTTTATTACTTTATTCAACAATTGGTTCACGCGCGTCCACTAAGTAATATATTTACCTTACTAGCCGTAGGCTTTATCTGTAGTAAAATATATTATAGATATACTCTTGACTCATTTTATACAACGTTAAACTATGTCGTCGTGGTGAAAGAATTAAATGGTTTATACAATAATAAGTATTTCCTTGTAGACTTGTCCTTATTAATTTTTATTAAAAGTTCTTAATATATATATTTTTTCCAGTGACAACATCACTTTCATCATCTTACGAACTGTGATATTTAAACCGATAAAAGGGCAAAGAACGACTTTTGAAACACCGAAATGTTTCCAGAACTCTCTACTCTATACTTAATGACACTTAAAATATTTATCTATCCTGATATTCTTGCATCTAATTGTGAGCATATTAATATTTGTTATTATTGCTGTTTGTATTTCATACCACACGATAGAGTACTTGATGTGCTTGATGACTCTTGCGTCATCAGATTAAGCCGGATTAAGCAATCGCTGCTCTTTTCGATCTGAATTACAGAAACAATAAAGATTCGTTTATTCAACCAAGATCGGTGTTCTTTGTTCGATCTACATTAGAATTATCAAACAACAAGGGATTACTCTTTCGAGAGAAATATCATAATATCTCTAGGCTACTATTTCGCGCTAGTAGTCCACAATCGTCATATACGCGGCGAGTAGCAGCAGCAGTAGTAGCACGCTGCTGCAGTAGTCGGAGTAGTGTTCAATAGTCCGTATTCGCCAACGGCCAATTAGGCTCTGGACTGGTTGGTCTTCTCCACCGTCTGCACCTTCCGCACTGTACTTTGATTGCATGAATGGATCCGTTGCATCTACCCCCACTACTTTCTTTTACCACCCACGACTCAATGTCCTCTGTTCTCCTCTCTCTCGATGCCTTATGATTCCCCTCTTCTCTTTTTCTTCTCTTTCTCTCACGCTGTCTCCTGCGTTTACCCTGTTCACGCGAGTTCATCGTACTTCCGACGACCTGCGGGCGATCGGTCGGTTTGTCTATCTGTCGGTCGTCTTGAAAAGTTTCTTTCATCAGCATTCGTTATCGACTACTGTGCCGAGTTATGTAATCTCTAGATAGAATTCCGTATCACGTGCTGATAACCGTCGCACGTCAACCGGTTCTCCTGTAGTGCCAATCGATTCCAATGGGTCGAAAGAAGTTTCAGCCAACCTGTTTATCCTTTAAAACTATATACATAATTGTATTAAAAAACCCGCTGGTTTTTGAATATGTAATTGTTTGATTTATTATTTGTAACATAATTTTCCGACGGTATAAATTAGAAGAAGTAATCGACGAACATCTTGTTCTCGTTCAAATCGTCTTTCAATTTCTGAAATTCTTTTAAGAGTTAACATTCTCAGAAACTTATGTTACATCCGGATGTAGAGCGTCTCGCCGTAGCTATTCTTTTCTACCCAGATGTTCCATACCAACCTTTATTAAATTCATATAAATCCTGCACTCTGCAAATCAATATGAAGATCGCTTGTACGATATTTTTAAAGACACGTTAACGGCTGTCGGTCGCCCCTGCAAGGTGTCTTTCCGAGTACACTGTACTCATTGCACTCCGAAACGGCCCTGAACGTTCTTTAATCCTCCGGAACTAATTGTGGATCTATTGGATTCATTCAATTATATCCTTCCAGAGCCAACGGTGAATCTATAGACTTTATTCAATTATTTTCTTTCTTCAGGTTACATCTGAAAGTTTGAATTATTGTTGTTAAAATAAACTTAATATTTATTCTCTTTTATATGAGTTGTATAATTTTGGTTTCTTGAAGTTAATTAGTTTCTTTTAATATTATACAAATTAAATTTATAGATCCAGCATCAGTAACTGTGCAACAGATATATTGACTGAAGCCTTTGAATGATTATATGTAAAAAAAGAAAGTTGAGAGAAAGAGAGAGAGAGATATCATGTATGTATCAATTATTTAACGAAAAGGTGCATGGATTCGGGCAAAATGCAATTTCATATTTTTTTTTGCATACGAAATATTAAAGAATCTTGATACTGTGCTTTCCAGATATCTCGATAGATACGAGAAAGTCCACTTCCTAGGTGAAGATGGTCAACAAGCTGATGACGATGATGAGGATTCCAGGCATCGGAAATGGTCGGCAAGAGCACTGCACTCCGTTCCTCTTACTTATAATCATCATCAGCACAACATCGCAGGTAAGTTGTGATTAACATGTGCTAAACATCTTCGATACAACTTTTAAAAATTTGATGTCGAAGAGTCCCCTTAATGCGTCATACTGTATATATAATATCTGAATATATCGTCCTTTTATTACGTTTGTTTTTTGAGAAATATACAAATTTTTTCGCCGAATGCGTCGGTAGTTTCGATAAATCGTTTTTGCCAATTTATGCCGGCATGCACGTCTCGATACATTTCGCGAACATGTACGCACAGCCGGGTATGTACCAATGCATTTTCCATTGTTTTCCTCTTTGTCGCTCTTTTATCGTCGCGTCGCGCAACATTCTTTCTCTCTCTACCTTTTTCTCTGTTTGTACGTACGTGTGAGTCACGGTTCAATAATTCGCTACGTTAGCAATTTCCGGCTGTCAGAATTTTTCGCCCGCTCGTTCTGCATCATCCCTACAGCTCTGCGTAAAAAATATCGCACATTTCGGTCCCTCGACAGGTCCTTCCGCAATTTTTCCTCTCAAGCCCATTTTCATTTATCACGAAAAATGTTTGAATTTTACACAATCGTATTTATTTGCAAATGTACTGTAAACGAGAGAGGTTATTTGACAACGCGATAAGTTAAGACAGCGGCTCGCTCTACTAATAATAATATACTTGAATAAATTGCCGACGTCGATATGAGTATCGGTCGGCTAGAGACTATATATATTTTCTGATTTAAATATTTACAGAGATATCACCGGAATTGCCGATCATAAAGCTTTGCATGTAGGAATTAATTAAATTGAAGTGTCTTTCCTTTCTATCGCGCTTTGCAGTAAGTCTTCGCAGGAGACGCGCACTATACATACATACGTGCTGCGCGGCCAAGGCGGCAACGGGTTATTGACGTGCTGCCGCTCGGAGAGCAGCAGCGGTGGCGGGCTATCGAGCCAGAGAGGGATATAGAGAGATAGATAGCGGAGCAGAGAGGGCGCGCGCGCGCGCGCGCGAGTTCGCGGCCCGGCTGGGTGCCGCGAATGCATTCGTGCACACCAAGGGTTCGAGGAGGGGTCGCGCGAGCTGCGTGTGCAAGATAATTTAATGGGCTATAATAATGACAAACATTCATATAGGGTGTATCAAATATATTTGATAGTCTTGCGTTCTGTTGCCTCAATTTATTTTGAATCAATTTTCCTTTGGCAAATATATTAAAATTCTCTAATATTATATATGCATACAAACACGCACACACATGCGCGCGCATATACATACACAGGGTGTCTCAAAACTGACGATAAATATTTTAAAGACATATTCTTTGTAATTTAAGACGAAATGCCTAAAAGTGATTCTACACGATTAATAATACTGATCACTGATATTGAGTCAATAATACTGACAGTACGCATAATATTTTTAGTATTTTCACAACTTTACATGATCAGTATTATTGATAATATATTTCACTTTAATTTTACATATATTATTTATTGCACTATAACATGAATCCTTATAAAAACGATACTGATGCTTGAAAATCAAAATCCAGATACTGACAGTATTATATTGACCGTGTAAGTTCATCTTAATATGGAGATGCTAAAATTATAATAGTTTTCAAATGGAAAGAGTTTAAAAATTTTGAATGAAGGGCTAGAATTTCGCGCTGATCAGTGGTAAAGGTACTAAATTTTGTTATTTTCAAAAGCATGAAGTTTAAGGGAGTACCTTCACACTATTTTGCCATGTACACACACACACACCACATTACTGTAGGCAAAAAATTTGTAAACTTTTTAAAACGCTTTAAAAAGTTGATATTTAAATACTTATTCAAATATTCATACAGAAAGAATGATTTTGTTGAAATATCCAAAGAATTGGAATAATTTTGTTGGACAAACAAAATAATTATGTTGGAATTTTAAGTATAATACTGCAACAAATTTTGACATTTTAGCAATCATCTGAGCGTCCTACATAATTATTTTGATATTTCAACAAAATTATGTTTTTTTTAGATCTGTATCTAGCTAAATTTTTAAATATTTCAGCAAAACTGTCCTTTCTGCGCAATAACAGTTATTGAATTTAAAGAATTGTTGTTAAAAATACATTGTTTTGGATATTTGAGTAAATAATCCTAAAAATGTCAATTTTTTTTAAGTATTTCCAAATTTAGGCCTAGAATGTATATATATTTGTAAATTATTTGGATTACTAATTCATTTGGAGAGTTTATTTCGTTGTCTAAGATTCTCCGTCCAAGATGTACTTCGCGAGAAATTCCTCGCTTATATCTGGAGAGTTGAAATGTACATAATTTTATTTATTATAATTTCCTAAAAATCAATTTACAAAATCTGTATCTGTATGTGCCTTTATAACTTCATAAAAAAGGAGCCAAAAGATTTCGTGACACAATATTACTTCTAGGAGATAAAATATCAGTAAAAGTATGATCAGATCATAGTAATATTAGATAAAGTATGAAAACATCTACGGCGAATAAAGAGTATATTATATTATTTATTACAATATTTGTAATAGCGAAATTGCAAAATTTGCTTCTTTAACAGAGCCAGTAGCTTCGTAAAATACAAGCCAAAACAAGTATCATGGCAAAATATTTTTTCTACAAGACAAAATATGAAGCTTGATAGAATGTAGATGTAGCTGCACCTTCTGCGCCGTAAATAAAGTATAAATAAGTTAATTCGTCACTTCCATTGATTCTAAGATAGATATCAGCGCTTTGACCTTTCACACCGTAGATATGCCGATTCCAGATTGGCTTAAGAATTGTCGTCGGGAGGATGTATAGGGTTTTTCTAGGACATCCCGTATACATATATAGAGCAGAGCGCATATATGTCAGCCGCCACACCGCGCCGCGCCGGTGCGTTTCGCCCGTTGACTGGCGGAACGCGCGGGTCTATACTCGGCGCACATGCGCACCTCACCGTGAATAGCCTCGCTCGCGATGCCGCCCGCACAGAAGCTCTGCGGGGTAACCCGCCGGATGAACGGCGGGGAAGGTGGGACGTGAGATGACAGGGGGAAAGTGAGAATGTTATGAGCGCGCAGCGCCCGGGGGCTCGTCTGTATCAGGAAGGGGTGCGAAAATGACGCTTACCGATATCTAGTGTGTACGTAACGATTGTTAATTTGCTTGCCGGGGTCTTAGTTGCGCGCGATCGCGGTAGCTGCGGCAATGACGACAACGACCGCCTCGACTCCCCGCGAGCTCCCGCGTAAGTCGCAAGCGACCTCGGCGTCCTGTTATGCCCTGTCTTCCCCGCGCGATGCGAGCATCCTCGGAACTGGGGCAGTAAAGGTTCCCCGAACGGGAAGCTATTCCCGTTTCCCATTCCGATTCATTTTCCTCCTCACTCTCTCCCTCTCGTTCCCTCCATGCATCGATGCGGCCATCGTTCGTCTAATCATACGCGTTCACTCTGTCATTAGGCGAACGACACGTATAATATATACATTCTCTGTTATAACCTTTGGAACCGAAAAGACTTGATGCTCTTTTTGGCATATTGAGAGAAAAATTTACATATTTGTGACTATTGATATTTTATTATAATTTAGTTATTACTGCTCTATAATGTGTGCGTGCGTGCATGTGTACACATATATAGATAGAATGTCTCATTTTAATTACCCTAGGGAAATGTCTTGAAAAATACATAAAAGATACGAAAAAATGTTTCAAATGCAAGTGTAACGGTTTCAAAGGGAACGTATTTTTTGGTCGCTTTTTTTTCTTGGTGGAGTATTTATTATATATTTAAATGTTTTGTGAATCATTGAAATTTTGGAATATAAATTTTGAAATACAGTTTTAATTCGTTTTTTTTTATGTTTCCGTTCTCCTGCAGTCAAATAAAAAAAAATAACAATGAACATGTAGGAAATGAGCGATGACATTTTATATATAAGACTGTCCTAAATATAAGATCTGACTGAATGCCGATCATAATTATAATTATCGAGATATTTTTGTAGATATCATGATATTAGACACATCAATTAAAGAGATTTTCTAATGGAAAATGTGGAGCATTTCACACCCAGAGCTCCCAAAGGTGTTGAATTCTACACTCAGAATTCAGGGCCTTTATAAAAAAAAATGTTAATTTTTGACAAATTTTTTAAAATTTTGAGTGATTTTACAAAAAAAAGTGACTAGGTGTATACATAGAAATATATTTCGTGCATACAACAAAAGACAAAATATTTATGTTATTTTAAAATCCCCTCCCTCTCTTTGGACTCCAGGGAAGTCAAAAATTTCTGTCCCTGGCTTGATTAGTCATCGTGATGAAAGATGATACTTGACGATCAGTGCTTATTTCATAACATATTCTGAGTCAGCAATTTGCACTTTTTCGTTCTTAGGTCTATTTTTGGTTTACTTTTTATCCATTTGAAATTTACGGAACGTTGCATTTATCAATTTAACCATATTATCTTTGCCACTATCTGAGAAAAATGTAAGTGAGAATCAATATTGCTGTAAACACTTTGGTGCTGCCCGAGGAGATCTCGAATGACTACACATGGCGTCATGAAAGTTTGTTTTGTCTTTGCTACACCGTACGAACATGTTCATAGAATCGCGTGACATGGACGAGTTAAATCGCTTGACGAGTGATCACTCACGATGCGTGGCCATCACCGCGTGGTCTATATAATTCTTTTGACATGTATTTCTTTAACCTTAAAACGTTATTTTTATAAAATAGTATTGTGTTGATACATAAATTTTATATCTGAGGAAATAGGGTACTCTTAGTTAATATAACACAAGATTATTTTATACATTTTACATTTCTGATAATATTTATTTATAAATACAAATCACTTGATTATTAATGTAAAAAGAAGGAATAAACACACATATACACACTATTAAATTTAATTTTGAAATGATATGAAATAGTCCAATAGCACAGAACTATTTAAAAATTAAAATTACTTATCACTCTGTTATAAGACTGGATCATCAGAAGGTTTAAAC